GATTTGTTGGATTATGCAAGTAGTGTGAATTTAGTCTGAGAACCTTTGTGAAGTTTCCCCTTTGTGATTACAGTGTCAAGAGAATTGATAAAACATTCTTGAAATGACAAAATTATAGAGATGGCACATAGATTAGTGGTTGCCAGGGGTTAGGGATGGTGCTTTTGATAGACTTTTTAGGGTCCATCTCCTGAGCCTCGTGTAGACATTAAGATGTAAGATCAGTTTCAACAGTTTTAGGTACATACTCTCAGAATGAAAGCTGGTTTCCTAGGTTTGCTTATTCTACTTTCATTGTGTTTATAGCTTATGTGGATAGGGTACTTTCTTGCTAGCTAAGCAATTCATTAAAACAGATTTTCCCACTAACGTTAAAAAGTTGTATCTAGTAGTGTCAAGGTATCTAGTCTGCCATACTGCTGGAAATCAGTGACCCATCTGTCTACAGTTTAGTCTTATGAAGTATGTTGCTATTTTTGCCTGTGCTCTCTTGTATTTTTGTTAAACTATATTATCTTATCTCTTTGGTCGATCAGACTTCTTGTACAGACCCATTACAATCTATACCCAGTTATGTTTTCTCCTTGGTTTCCCACTGTTCCTTCACTGGTGATATTATGGTTTATTAAAGACATCGTGTGTTGTAGCTGCCATTCTTTCACTCGTGTCATTCTATCCTGTTTAAATACTATCTCTCCTTTTGACTCCAGCCGCTGCTTCTAGCACTGTTGACATTTTGGGCTGGATAATTCATTTTTGTGGGGGGCTGTCTTGTGCATTGTAGGATGTTAGCAGCTTCCCTGGCCTCTACTCACCAGGTACAAATAGTACCTCCCATTTTCTAACAGTTAAAAGTGTTTCCAGATGTTGCCAAATGTCCTTTGGGGGCACCATCTCCCATGGTTGAGAACCACCGTTCTAGCTCTATATGAACTTGGCCTCAGTTGAAGAGCCTTCTTTGATGATTCCTGCCTGTGGCTTTTACCTTCTGGATTTTCTGTAGTACATATTGTCTGGATTGTACACTTGTCCCTATTACATTTGGTTGTGAACTTCTTTCTCTCTCTTTCTCCCCGCCCTCTGTGTGTGTTTGTGTATTTGTGTCTGTGTCTTTCTTATTTCCCTCAAGTTCTAGAGGGTGGGGACTATGTATTTTACCTTTTTATTTGTTTGCAATTTTGGTCAACCCCATATACTTGTTAGTAGTTTTAAATATATCAATCTCTTGCTTTTTCCTTATTTTTTCATTTTTTTATATGGTAGTAATGGGGGTTTAGGAAATTGAATCATTCTAGAGAATGTGGAGAACTTTGAGGCATTCTAAATTGAGACTTTACTAATGGTAATGTTGAGACTTGCAGATAATAGAATTAATACCAATGTAACAATAGTGTGTATACTCAGTAATAACTCTGGAAAATTCAAGACAATGTAAGATAGTTACAAAGATATAAGAAAGATGTAATTTCTGTTAGATAGATCCATTATATAAGTAACCAGAAAAATGTGCAGTAGAGTAGCATTAAGAAAAATAGACTCAGAAATATAGAAAATGGAAGGATTTGTAGAAGCATGAAGTACGAATGATTAGTTCTACAGAATGAGATGAGCAAAGTAATCAATATGTCAGGGTAAATTGTTAGGAATGATGGATGTAGCATCTGGTTAGGAGTGAGTTGTGTAAAGCTGATAAATGTGATATATGAATGTTAGTAAGTTGAAAACAAGTTGGGCATAGAGAGGTTAGCTTCTTACTGTTAACTCAGGAGGAACATGTATATTTTGCCCCAGTTGGGAAAGATACAGCGCAGCTATAGATCCCCCCCGGCTTTTTAAAATTATCACCAAGTTCCAAGTAACAAAATAAATTAAAGCTTGAATCTAATTACCTTTATAAAGTGCTTTTCCTCATCTAGGCCAAAATCTTCATAAAAAAATCAAAAGCATAATATGTTTTCATTGTAGAAGAATTAGAAAGCAATGAAAGTTGCTTCCCAAAGCCTAAACCACTATTATCATTTAATCCTGTTCTCTTGATTTTTATATGGTCTCAGTTTCTCTCTAGATATAGATATAAAATGTGCCTGTATATAGATATCAGTGTATACTGTGTGTATATGTGTATGTTTGTAAGTATGTATATTTATTTAAAATAGGGATTATTTCATATGAAACGTGTTATATAGTCTATTCTTTTTCATATAATATTATGAACATTCTTCCATATCTGTAAAAATTTTTTGAAGTGTTATTTAGTGTCTACATAGCATTCTGTTCTGAGATTATCCCCAAATTTATTTAACCATACACCTATTGTTAAACATTTAGATTTTCTTCCGTAAATATATATACACACACATATACACATGAACGTACATATACACATAGTTTTTTCTTTCCAGGTCTTTTTTTAAAAAATTTTTTTATTGGAGTATAATTGCTTTACAATGTTGTGTTAGTTTCTGCTGTGCAATGAAATGAATCAGCTATATGTATAGATATACATATTCCCTCCCTCTTTGACCTCCCTCCCACCCCCACCCCACCCCTCTAGATCATCACAGAGCACCGAGCTGAGCTTCCTGTGCTTTATAGCACGTTCCCACTAGCTGTCTGTTTTACACATGGTAGTGTATATATGTCAATCCTAGTCTCCCAGTGAACCACTCTAATGAAAATTTTGAGTACATCTCCCATTTTCTTTGAAGAGTTGTTACCTCCACCATAGTCTGCCTCTCATAATTCGCTCCACAAAATCGTTCTCCCTGTCTTCCTTAATAAAAAGAATCCCAATTTTATATGTGGGCAGTATTACCAAATTTGGAGACTGTGTTTCCTATCCCCTCAAGTGGTTAGGTGTGGCCAAAGGACTGGTTATGGTTGCGAAGCTGTAAGCTGAAATATGAGCATTAGAAGAGAGTGAGATGGGCCTTTCTTCCCCTTCCTTCTTGCTGCTCCCCATAGCCTTCTTGGAGTGTGAGGTGACTTTTAATAGAACAGTATATGGTAGAGCAAAAAGATGGAAAGAACTTGGATTCCTAATATTTGGAGCGGCCACATCAGCCTTTGATTGTCCACTTCTAGACATTTACATGGGAGAAATTCTCTCCCTTTGTTTTTTTCCTCTCTTAAGTCATTATATTATAATTATTAAAAAATTTTTTTGTCTTGGGAAGGATATGACCTAACCCTAGCTGATAAAGGATGCCATTGTTTGATGCTCTGTGCAGTACTGTGATGGGTCCAATATAAGGAAACATGCATTGTGTCATGGTAGATTCTAGATCCATGTTGAAAACCAAAATCTACTTTGAGACTGGAGAGAGATTAATTGGCATTGAAAGGGAAATACTTAATATGTATTTTCTGGAGTTCTTTGATAATTATATTGCCGAATTTTGTTCTCAAATGATTTTAATAATTACCACAAATATTTCAGAAAATGTATGACAGCTTTTAGGCAAAAGAAATCACTAAATATTGAAGATTATTAATTGTAGTGTATCAAAATCTCTTAAAGCCCTATGAATTTGTAATATTTATTAGATATCTTGGCTAGTCATTTAGACAGAGTTAGTTCATAAATGTGACTTTTAATGCTCTCATTAACTTTATTGGAAGAATTTTGACAAATGAAATTTAAAAAAATTTTAATTTATAACTTTAGACGTATTTTGGGGTATTGATTCTAAGACAGTTACTCATAACTTTGGTGAAAGAAGTGAAGGATACACATTTAAAAAGTTACTAGACTATTTTTTGAGAAGTTTTAGGTTTATAGAAAAATTGAGCAGAAAGTACAAAGAGTTCCCATATACCCGTTCTCCACAGTATACACATTTTTATCCAGGGTGTTCCACACACATAAAAAAAGACTTTATATCCCTGAACCAAATGTGTATTATTTTATAACAGGAAAACTGCACAGCCCTGAAAGACCTTTTACGCTAACCCAGAGTTTCCCACCCTCAGCACTATTAACACTTTAGGGCAGATAGTTATTTGTTGTGGGAGACTATCCTGTGCATTGTAGGATGTTTAGCAGCATCCCTAATCTCTACCCACTAGATGCCAGTAATACTCTCTGGTTGTGACAACCAAAAATGTTTCCAGACGTTGCCAAATGTCCCTTGGGAGGCAAATCACCCCCAGTTGAAAACCATTGCTCTAACCAATTTTCGAAGCTTTAGGATTTGCTGTATTTTTAAGGTGGGCTCAAATTGAAGGAGCCTGTAGTTCAGTGACCCTTCACGTGAAGTGGTGTAGAAAAAGTTAGAATCTTCCTGCCCCTTGGGGACCGCAGGCAGCATACAGACTCTTGCTGAGCCTCATTTTCCTTGATTGTGAAATAGGTAAAATATTACCTAAGTTGTTTGAGAATTCATTGAGCTAGATTATCAAAATATTTTAATTTTAGTTTCTTTCTCTTCAGATGTTGTGCTATACTGTTTGGATTTATTCCCTTGAAAGTGTCAAACACTCATTACAAAGTTCTTATTTCTGTGGGAAAGGCTATCACAGTTTAGGATCTGCTATTTATGGACTTCAAGAGTACTATACTGTGGGTGGATAAAAACCTGAAATAAATGTTAAGTGAAGACTGACTTATGAGGTCAGTTGTGTTTTGTCTCTTTGTGGTGCTCCCATTAGGTTGTCGCAGCATTCACATTGTAACAGTTAAGTGATCTCCTGTGTTCTTTCAGGGACTGTGAGCTTCTCCAGTTGTTGATAGCATTAGATGTCAGCCAGTCGCTTTGACCTTCAGAAGTTTTTGTCTTCACATCTGAAATCCCTCCAATTGTAACAGCTCCATTAGAGGAAGCCAGGCCTCTATCAGCTTGTGCTTAGTCCACTTAAGACTTCTAAAAACTTGACAAAGTTCACAGCTAATAACCTCCACTTCCCATTGCTACTTTGTAGAGTTATAAAGCATTGTTCACCAGTGAATGAAGTGCTGTCTATAATAATTAAGGTTATTCTAACTCTTCTATCCCTTGCAGAAAATTTCCAGAGACTTGGTGAAGATAGGAAAGCTATCAGAAAGACTATAGCACTATTGTACTGTAAGTATTGCTTTGAAAAAGAACTGTAAATTAAGAATATTTTAAGTATCCAGTTGTTTGGGGGAAAATATGTTAGGCAGAGTTATTATATGTAAAATATAGAAGAGGATATATTATAATCATGTTAATAATTTATAAGAACTAATCCTATGCAGTCTTTTAAAAATTGAAAATGTGTTCTTATGTACTGAGATGAGGATTTTACAAATAGCATTGAAAAATATTTCTAATTCTAACAAGGATTGATCTAGTTTATGTACATTTGCTTATTTAAAACTATCAGAATCCAAAGAATCATTGTAGTTTTGTAGGTTTGTGATTTGTTTGGGTGATTTATTGTTTAGGTTATTTTGCAGAATTATTTATTTGCTGATTTATTTATGTATTTCATTATTTATTTATTTGATTATTTAGTAAATTATTTATCTGATGAATTATTAATACATCTTCATGACATGCTTTAAATTATTTATAACTTAATTTTGAGTTTATTGCTTTTAGTTGCTGCATTGTTACTGACTAGTTTTGATTTTTTTTTTTGTGGGTCTTTAAAATTAAAGTATTAGCTCTAAGGCAAAAGTATATTCATTGCAATACCCAGGGATTTTTTTAAAAAGTAATTTATGGTAGTGATAAAATTTCAGTTATGCTTTGTTTAGTTCTAAATTTACCTGTTTAGGGTTACCCATGATAGAATATTTGTTTGTTGTGTGCATACTTATTGTAGAGTCACTTACAAATTAATGATATAGCCTATAGCCTGTAAGGTGAGACAGAACATATAAACCTCAGTCCACATTATCCTTGGTATCTCTAAACGGCAGGTCGGTATTTCTTACTTGCTATAGAATAGATAATGGAGTCTTAGTTATTTTATTTTAGTGGCAAAGCTATTTTACTACTGGAATATTTTTAGGAAAGCTCAGAGAAATGAAGTCCAACTTAGATTTGGATTCCTGAGATATAAATTTGATGTAGCCCTTTTTTTTTTTAAATACCTGTTGTATGTGTATTTGGAAAGCAGCATGATGTTTATATAGATTTTTATATCAGTCTTAGTGACATACTTATTTTATACCATATCTCTTATGGAAAGTTTTATACCACTTTATTTTAATGAGCTAAAAATGTACAAGGTCTTTTATAAATGCCAGCTATAATTTCTCTGTCTTTACCTAATAATTCTCTTATGCAAAGTTTCTATTTTTAACCAAATAAAGTATTTCTTCTTAGTTCTGACTCTGTTTCGTAAGGTAGCACAAGTTATTAGTGTTCTCTTTTTGAATGGGTTTAATGAATAAGTTAAAGTAATTGTTTGGGTTAAAGGGTATCATGTGACAACATAGCCTTTCTCCTGTGTTTGCTTGCAGTGAATTACTGTGTACTTTACAGTTTTAACATTTCAGAGAGAAGCAGTGTTGTACATTTCAAGTTGAACTATATGCTGTTGAAATATAGGGAAAATGACCTCTGTAGACAGGTTTCACTATAGAATTTTTTTTTTTTTTTTTTGCGGTATGTGGGCCTCTCACTGTTGTGGCCTCTCCCGTTACGCAGCACGGGCTCTGGACACGCAGGCTCAGCGGCCATGGCTCACGGGCCCAGCCGCTCCGCGGCATACGGGATCTTCCCGGACCAGGGCACGAACCCGCGTCCCCTGCATCGGCAGGCAGACTCTCAACCACTACGCCACCAGGGAAGCCCTCACTATAGAATTTTAAACTGTGCATATGTAAACCTGAATTTCTTATTTTGAAATATTGACTATATTAATGTTTAATTGGGATATTGCTTTAGCATCTTCATATGCTTTCCTTAAAGGAAGCGGTTTCATTTGATTTATATACATGGATTTAAAAATGTGTTTATTGTACATATCTGTGACTCTTCTGTTCTCTAGATGAACAGCCACAGATATTGTTAGATATGGACTTTTATTTTAAAGTGTGCTTCAGGATGCCACTGTGGACTTCTTTCAGAGAAAAAAGCTACCTTGTCCAATGTTGAATAAGATCTCCTATACTAGTTGTGTAATATACCCAGCCCACACTATAACATATAGCTGTGTCATCCAAGTGATCTTTAATTGGAAGATACAGATACACATATGTGCACACACACACATGCACACATATGTGAAATTGTCTCCTGAATAATTTCTTAGGACTTGTTTTTGAAAAGAGATGTTGATGGAGATTGTCATAATAGTAGCTAGCATTTACTGAGCACTTATTATGTGCAGGCACAGTGCTCACATCATCTTTCACATGGATTATTTGTTACTCTTTCCAGTGAGAGAAGTACAGTTATTATCTTCATTTTATGAATGAGGAAACAGAGACCTAGTAACTTGCTCTTTGCCACACAGCTGACAGTAAGTGATGGTGCTGGAATTGGGACTCATTTAGTGTGACTCCCGAAGGTCCTTCTTAGCCCATTACAATTCCGTAATGTAGCTTTATTGTTGTTTTAATGTAGTTTTATTTGTATTACATTACAAATCTGTAATGTAATTATGCTACATTACAATTCTGTAATGTAGTTTTTCACCTGAGTTGTTTTCATTTGTTTGTTTATGGAGACTGTAGTTATTTATATCTCTGATAGACTTAACTTGCTAAGTATATTCAGTTTGTGTTTCATTTGGTCATCTTTTTTAAACAGTAGGTAGTACTTGAGCTTCTTGAATTTTCTGATTTGCTTCTTCTTATAATCCTGTATAGTGGATCGGAATTAAATACAGAAGAATTTGTGCCTCAGGGAGATTGAATGTTTGCCTGGTGGATGTCTAACGCTCAGATCACTTCTTTTGACTCTTAAGCCCAAGACCATTACCAGGGCTCTGTTAGGTCAAATCTTGGGTGATGTTGGTGTGAGTGCCATAAATAATTGCATCTGTATGAATGCCAGGACAATAGGCGTAAATTAGTACCATCCTGGGCAAATTGGGACCTCTGGTCACCCTAGTAACATCTCAGATTCCTATTGAGTAGTCCCTAACAGTGTATATAATGCATATTTAAGAGCAATCTTAATTCATATACAATATTTTAAAAAATATTTTATGATAAAACAAACTTCTTTTATGGCCAGTATTTATGTGATTTTGTTAGCCAACCTAGGCAGTTTGTGTTTATGACTTACAAAGTGTGACTCTGATGTTTTACAGCTTTTGGAACCTATTTTCCAGGTGAAAATAAAGAGGAGGTATTACTATTGGGAACAGAAAGATGAGTATGGCAAAGTTGGTCATAATATAATATATAGTTGTAAAGTTTTTCTTCGTATCATACATTACAGGATTTTTAATACTTGTTTTGCTTTGTAAATCTTCTGATAAATGGTATATTTGCCATTGTACGGAAAACTAATTCTATTTGTTATACGTTCAGAATTTATAATTTTATGTTAGATGATCCAGTAGTGTTTTTTTTTTCCTTAAAAAATCATGTTACATGTCATTTATATTGATAAGTTGGCAGTTTGCCAAAGCATTTTTGAAAACAACTCTTTTTCCTTGGTGAAATTCTGTGTGGGAAAATAGGAATATGTAGAAGAGAGTTGCTTAAAGGTTTTTGGTTTTTGTATAGTTTTCTTTTTAATTCCTTCTTGACATGTATTTAGTAAAGTCACAATTAGGTATTAAATTTAAATTTCAAGTTGTTTTGCACTTAGAGAATAGATGACTTGTTAAGTTGAACTAGGTAACCACACTGGCATATTTGTATTTTAATGAACATTAAAAAGAAAAATTCTTATGCAGCAGTTCTTATTCATACGTATGTATAATAGCAGCACTCTTTTTGTTCAGCAAGGCCTGTTAGGCCTTGTAACAAAGGTAAGAGCTTCCGTATATTTTGCCTCGAGTTTGTCACAGTATATGAAGCACTTGGCTAGATACTACTATAATTGTAAGAGTAATAACATAGCTTATGTGTTGGCTCTGAGAGTACCTCCTTTATAATTATGACAAGTAAAAGTACAGCCAAAGGTCACGTTAAGCACAGAATTTCTTTCACACCTCATCCGTTTTGTGGATAATCTGTGAAGTAGTTTGCATCCTGCACTGATATTTTAAGACAGCAACCTAAGGTTGTTCCCATGTAAGTGTTTGAAATATCTTTCCCCTACCTCCCGTGTGGTTGCAAAATTTGGCATGAACGTGTATTTGAATCCTGCACTAATTAAATAGAACCTTATTAAATTTAGAGTTTGCAGAGTAAAAAAGGGGACTCTTGTACTGCATGGATTTCCTAGGGCACTAGATAATACTGACACATAACAGTCTTTAATAATACTGAATCCTGTCCTGACTAAACGCAGTGTCTTAGTGTTGACCACCTTAGTACTGATGCTGCTCAATGAAACACTAAACCCAAACCACACGGCAACAACAAAAATAGAAAATAAAATCAAACAAATGAAATTATAGAAGCATGGCATGCCTATACATGTACAATCTATTGATTAGATTCTATTTTTGACTTTAATTCAGCTAAGTAAAAGTTGGAGTATTGAAAAGGTCATATATAGGAAAGCTTTCTATTAAAAAACATATAAAGAGAATATACATCTGTTCTAGAGTGGTTAACAAATCTCTTTAAGTTAGCCTCAGTACACAATACCAAAAAATATAGGCTGAAGAAAGAATGTTTGGAAGAGGATAAAATTGCAAGTTATAATTTTTAGTATAATTGATAAAAATGTTTCTTTCTGTTTTTGAAACACATTTTTTCATATAGTTCCGCACCATAGCATGCTTCTTTCTATAAGACTTCTAGCAAGGGTGGTAAAGCCCTATGAGGGGAATTTGGGAAATTAAGGAGTACTTTAGCTGGTCACAATAATTATAAGGAGTGTTTCTGGCATTTGATGGGTGGGGATCAGGGATGCTAGGTGTCCTGCAATGCATGGGACAGTCTCAGACTACAGAAAACTGTCCTGAGAACCACATAACTTTTGAATGTCTGCTTGCTTAAACTCTCTTCAAAGATAATACT